ACAATAGGCCTTCGCAGCGCTTTGCTGCTCGGGCCTAATAATAATAATGTGTTACATTATGTATAATTTCATTTCCACTAGTAAGTGTGTACTTGTGTTGGTCTCTCAAAGAAAATTACAATGAAATTGTTTTTGGTTGTAATGTGACAAAATATACAATGACTCAAAGCGTATTAATTTTTTTCAGAGGCATAACGTAATATTTAGATTTTACAACTCTGACCTGGTGTAAAATCTGATGTCTTCTGGTGACGTAGAAAAACGTTCCAGTCCAAACGGCTTTTGAAGACTACAGGATCGGAGCTGCTCTTTCAGTTGCTCAATTTCTCTCAGCATGCTGTGATATTGCTCCCGGTCAACACACACGGTTCTGCTGGCGCCGTAGTCATGGTCCACGACCATAGGTACCATGACGGGTGGTTCATTGTCCTCAATTGGATCCGCCGAATCAGGTTCTGGATTAGATGGTCGACAACGGCGCTCCCAAACACCTGCTCGTGTCTTTCTGCTGTATTTGTTCCACTCAAATAATGATGGAACCGACCCAGCTGCTAAAATTCGTCTTCCCTTTTCTGTAGTAATTACTTCATTCTCCAGGAAATGTCGGCTACATACCTTGGTGTGAGGAGTTACCGTAAATCCCTCTCTTCTGATTTTTTGCAGCCAGCACAAACGAAGGCTTGTCTCCTTAGGGAAACGGTGAAAGCTCAAACGGCTATTATAGCGACCTGAAGACGAGCAAAGCGGCACACAACAGTGCTCCTTAGACCCAAACACCGTCGGCTGAAATCTAAAGCTGCCACGCACGTTATATTTTTGTTTATTTGACGCAGCAACACTCATTTTAGTTGTTTATCTCTGGGATGACAGGATACAGGAATTAAACCGGAAACTGGAATGCCGACATCCGGTCAAAGCGGAAGTGATTCAGGACGCATGTGCACAGAGCCTATTGTTTTAATACTGATGATTATGGCATACAGCTCATGAAAACCCAAAATGCCTGTCCCAAAAAATTAGCATATCATGAAAAGGTTCTCTAAACAAGCTATTAACCTAACCATCTGAATCAATGACGTAACTCTAAACACCTGCAAAAGATTCCTGAGGCTTTTAAAAACTCCCAGCCTTGTTCATTACTCAAAACCGCAATCATGGGTAAGACTGCCGACCTGACTGCTGTCCAGAAGGCCATCATTGACACCCTCAAGCAAGAGGGTAAGACACAGAAAGAAATTGCTGAACCAATAGGCTGTTCCCAGAGTGCTGTATCAAGGCACCTCAGTGGGAAGTCTGTGGGAAGGGAAAAGTGTGGCAGAAAACGCTGCACAACGAGAAGAGGTGACCGGACCCTGAGGAGGATTGTGGAGAAGGGCCGATTCCAGACCTTGGGGGACCTGCGGAAGCAGTGGACTGAGTCTGGAGTAGAAACATCCAGAGCCACCGTGCACAGGCGTGTGCAGGAAATGGGCTACAGGTGCCGCATTCCCCAGGTCAAGCCACTCTTGAACAAGAGACTGCGTCAGAAGCATCTCGCCTGGGACTGCTGCTGAGTGGTCCAAAGTTATGTTCTCTGATTACAGTAAATTTTGCATTTCCTTTGGAGATCAAGGTCCCAGAGTCTGGAGGAAGAGAGGAGACACAGAATTTACATTGCTTGAGGTCCAGTGTCAAGTTTCCACAGTCACTGGGGTGTCATGTCAGCTGCTGGTGTTGGTCCACTGTGTTTTATCAAGGGCAGGGTCAATGCAGCTAGCTGTCAGGAGATTTTGGAGCACTTCATGCTTCCATCTGCTGAAAAGCTTTATGGAGATGAAGATGTCATTTTTCAGCACGACCTGGCACCTGCTCACAGTGCCAAAACCACTGGTAAATGGTTTACTGACCATGGTATTACTGTGCTCAATTGGCCTGCCAACTCTCCTGACCTGAACCCCATAGAGAACCTGTGGGATATTGTGAAGAGAAAGTTGAGAGACGCAAGACCCAACACTCTGGATGAGCTTAAGGCCGCTATCGAAGCATCCTGGGCCTCCATAACACCCCAGCAGTGCCACAGGCTGATTGCCTCCATGCCACGCTGCATTGAAGCAGTCATTCATGCAAAAGGATTCCCGACCAAGTATTGAGTGCATAACTGAACATGATTATTTGAAGGTTGGCGTTTTTTGTATTAAAAAAACTTGTCTTTCATTGGTGGAATGAAATATGCTAATTTTTTGGGACAGGCATTTTGGGTTTTCATGAGCTGTATGCCATAATCATCAGTATTAAAACAATTAAAGACCTGAAATATTTCAGTTGGTGTGCAATGAATCTGAAATATATGAAAGTTTCATTTTTATCATTACATTATGGAAAATAATGACCTTTATCACAATATGCTAATTTTTTTAGAAGGACCTGTATATATATGTATATATATATATATATATATATATACACATACTAATATTTAAAGTCAGTGAGTAAATTTACCTGTTTATCCCCCCTATGTTTTGTAAAGAAACCAGTTTTATTCTGCTTTATGACTATAATATATTTGATGTTATTGGACTCAGGGAGTTGAGATCATTCGAGGCTGTCGTGGTCTGAACCTCGTTGGATGTGATCTAGTGGAGGTGTCTCCACCTTATGACACTACAGGTACTTTTGTCACATTACTGTCATTATAGAATTATTATTGATGATATTTTAACTCTTTGCTTGAATTCCTTCAAACAGGAAACACTTCACTGACTGGGGCCAACCTCCTCTTTGAAATGTTGTGTGTTCTGCCAAAAGTTAAATACTACTGATGTGAACAGAACAAGATGCACTTTTAATGGACTACACATATCTCCATGACAACAAGCAGCCTTTTGTTTTGCACAAAGTTATAAGAAAGACAAATTGATCATTTTAAACTTTAACACGAAGCAGTTTTGTACAATTTTTAGGTATGATTAATGCACTTTTAGAGATGAGCTCAAATGTTTAACAAGAAAAATCTGTTTTAGGTTATGTTGTAAAGGACTGCGGATGTATTCAGTTTGTGTTGACAAATTAATAAGGCGCACCATCATTTCTTAAACAAGTCGCAAATGTGTGTTTTGTCTCATAATTTTAGGCATCAACAAACTGTAAAATGTGAGAAATGCCAAATAAAAAGGCCTGATTAAAACAGTCCCACTTCTTTGTAATGATGGGAATTGATCAAGGCAGTTTTTGAAGTTCCTGTGGTTTTGTTGTCCCCTGTCACGGATCAAAAAGGGAGAATTAGAAATGCCTTCCCTCCATCTGTCTGTCCATGCATTCATTTTGTGATCGCAATAAACTGAAATTAAGATGAGGCACCAACTTCCATTTTGTTGTGTGGCTGCATCACAGGGTCACCATCAAAAATTGGGTTGTCACGTCAAAATCCAAGGGAGGTGTGTGTGTGTGTGTGTGTGTGTGCGTGCGTGCGTGTGTGCGTGCGTGTGTGTGTGTGTGTGTGTGCATGTGTAAACTGAACATCTCTATCATTTGAGGAGACTGCTTTCAAGTTTCTATACTGCTTAAAAGTATAGTTTCCTGGCCAAAGATTTACCGATGATGGCCAAGACCACCGTTGGACTGTCACTGTATTATAACAACTCAAATGTAATGAACTTCAGTGTTTTATCCAAATGTTAGTTTATAAACTTTTACACTGAATTTGATTTCTTGTCACGTGGTTATTTACTGTATGTACAAATCTATAGTTATGGCTAGCACAATTAGCAGTATGCTAGCTGTAGCTCTTCAGATGTAGCTTGGGGTAACAAAATTTGTTCTTGGGTGACGATGATGGTGGAATGGTATGGCAGCCAACTTGGGACCAGAAAGTTGTTGGTTCAGTTCCTTTCCAATGCCACATGAGCAAGACACCTATTCCGTCACTGCTCCCCTGGCAGGGTACTTTGCCTTCTGTTCTACTTGGGTGCAACTCACATGTGATTTGTTCATGGTATCTGTCATTGTATGGGAACATATATACAACTCTCCAACATTATAGGGAACATTGTATGGGAACATACAATGACAGATACAGCACTTCACTTTTTTTTTTTCAACATCACCGTCTAATGCGAACTTGATGGCAATGTAAAGGCTTACACTAATAGTGATTGCACGGACTGCTATGAAATTTTGAAGATTGGCCATCTAGCTGCTGACCTACCAGTTTGATTAGAATTGAAGTCTTCTCCAAAACGGAGCATGTTCAAATGTGAAATAATAATTATTCATGTTTCCACAGCATCCAACTTCAAAAAGACCAAACAATATTGTGATTGTCCCTTTAATTTGTTTTTATGTCCTTCAGCCATAATAAATCACTAGTAAATGGTAAATGGACTGTACTTGTATACAGGGACAGATTAACACTTCGCTGTACCCTGGGCAACAATCTTCAAGGGCCCCATCATCACGATCACCATAATCTGGCCAAATACAGAATAAATTACCATAATATACAGTAAATATACTTAAAATTCTAACTATCAAGTGTATTTTTATGTATAAAACTCCAAATGCTCATTGACACAAATTATCAAGACTGAATTAAGTTGAATGCACTTTGAACACCACACGACATCATATATGTACTTTGTTTAGTAACGTGTTGGCCACTGGTGTCAGAAGCATTTGTAATGGGGGGTATCGTCCCCCAGAAAATTTTGAAAAAAGTAGATGCCATTTCCTGCATTCTGGTGTATTTTAATGGTTGTTAAACATCTAGTTTTACTTACACAAGGAAACACTTGATTCAATAACTATTTTAGAGCTAATGGCACAACAAGAAGTAGCCTGACCAACAGCTGATTCAATTCATCAAAAATATTATATATTCAAAGGTGACGATTTGTTGCCCACATTAAAACTAAATGACTGTAACTTAGTTGACTTCTGATGTAATAAGATTATCAATGAATGTTTGCGACAAAGGATTTACTGAGTATAACAAAAATTCCTTCAAGAAACCTCCCAGTATAAATCATAAAACCATAATGACTTCTGCTCATTCTATATTTGTCAAATGGCCTAAATCTCCTAAAGTGAAGGAGAATCATTTTAAAATAGTAAATAAGATCTATCCTGTAGCCGTTTCTTGAAATAAGATTTAAATTTGATGTTGATTTGTGTGCCTTTTGTAAATCAGAAGATGAATCCCTCGAGCATTTTTTTTTCATGTCGATACAAAGTCTTTGGTCAGACATCAGAAACTGGATTAATCTCAAACTCAACATTCCTTCTTTTCATGCTGATGCCATTTTACTTTATGTGGATAACTTAAGCTCAGCTTTCTCTGATGCCATAAATATAGTCATACTTATAGCAAAGTACCACATTCATTATACTTTGTAGTAAGAGGAGTGATAATAAGCCCTCCTTCCTGTTTTATGAAT